CTGACATCTTTGGAGTATCTGAATCTTGAGGACAATCAGATGTTCAACCTAAGCTCTGGTGTCTTTCGTGGTCTAAGGAATTTGTACCGGATTCTGTTGAGTGGAAATAGGATTTCCAGTTTGCCAGCTGATGTTTTTTCAGACTCTTCTTCGTTAGGAGAAGTAGAATTGGGCAGGAATCGTATAAAGAAGCTGGGAAGCGTTCTAATTTCGTTACCACCCAATATAACATCCTTGGACCTGAGTGGAAACTGTTTGGGAAACTTAGAAAGAGCAGCGTTTCGGGGTTTTCCTCGTCTCTCGACTCTTCGTCTGGTAGCCAACAACATCTCATTTCTTCCTCAAGACGTCTTTCTTGGTCTTGATGGTCTAACATTTCTTTACCTGGGCCACAACAGTCTTGTAGAGATCAAAGGAAACATCTTCAGTAACCACCCTTCGTTGGCAGCTGTAGATTTTAGCAACAACGAGATTACAACACTCGAGGCCGGCCTTTTTAGGGGATTCTCAAGGCTGGTATCCATCGAACTTCAGTCCAACAATCTAACCTCCTTGCCACCTGGTATATTTACTGATCTTGTTGCTCTCCGGCATATTGGACTGAAAGACAACAAACTAGAAAGCCTGCATGGAGACATCTTTAAGGGCCTTCGGTACGTCAAGACCATCCATCTTGAAGAAAACAAACTCAAACGTCTTCCCCCTGGCATCTTCAGCGAAGCGAACTTGCAAGACCTGTTGATTCTGAATCTTCGCGACAACGACTTGGAAGTCGTTGAGAATGGTACATTTGACAACCTCCCTAGCCTACGCACGATTTACTTGCAAAATAATCCACTGAAGAAGGTAGACTGTTCGATGGTCCCATCTCAAAACATGTCGGCGTCACTGGGAGTCGTGTCAGCAACATGTACGTGTGAATTCAGACCGCTCTACCGCTGTCCCAACTTTGCATGGGTCGGTGCTAAGACTATCTGTGTACTGACGCTACCGCCATCCCTAGCGTTATGGCATGTACCCTTACTGAATGAAATATCACCAGATAGCCTGGCTTGTGCTGGCGTGGGCTATAATCGTATAGATTGGATTACTTTGTTTGTTCTTCTGTTATCTTATGTTATACTGTTGTAGACATCTGATATGGTAGATACCTGATATTGTTTGTGAATATGTAAGCGGGAAAACTTGATGACCAAAAAATGGATTTTTCACCAATTTTTTTTTTTACTAATGGTTAATCTATCTATCTATCTATCTATCTATCTATCTATCTATCTATCTATCTATCTATCTATCTATCTATCTATCTATCTATTACGGCTAAAGTTACGGCTTGTAAAATCTTGGTGTTTTATGTTAAATTTCATTATATACCCTTTTCTTTTTGTACTATATATTCAATAGTCGTTGCCATATATATACATTGTGCCATGTACAATTGTCGTGCAAAGAAGTTCAGCCAGCATGTGAGGAATACCTTTACAGGTGGTCTGGTTTGTGGCTTGCCTTCTAAAATAAACAGCCGGTGTTGGCGGCAACCTGAAACATTGATGGGTAACCTAGCTTTTGTCTTAGGTTGTCCAGTGAGGTGATGTTAGGTGATGATAGCCACCCGTTGCCCAGTGGGCAACCTGATAAAAAAAGTACAGTACAGTGTCAGTATCTCGAACCCTTAACCCTTTCCTGCCTCATTGTTGTTACCAGTATATGATCAGTTCCTTTGAACAGTATGTACATTAATGAGATGACATATATAGATGACAAATGTTGATTTTTATTTCAATGGATGTCAGGAATGATGAAAAGACGTTGATGCCAAGGACAGTACGACTGCACACATATCTATCGTATTATATCTAGTACCGGCTTGCTCCTCCTAGCAGACTCCAAAAGTGGCTAGAAAGAGTATAAAGATCTATAAAGTGGCTAAATTGACGTATACCGTGCTAGGAGAGTTGGTTCGCTACAGTTTGCCGCTCACTGTACTCTTTTTTAGTGTACTAAAAGCTGTCTATTTGGGCAATTTCCAACCACCGCCCCTGAAGCCTGGTAGCCGGTTGGTTAAATAGGCCTCGGAAAAAAAATTGTGATTCCGGTTTCCCGACTACCCCTAATCTCTTTTGGGGGGGATTTTTTTGATCGACCGCTCGATCGTAAGGCTGAGTCTGGCATCTGAATTTCAAGCATTTTCAGAACAATTTTTATTTTAAAATCGAGTGAAATATGTGTCCACAAGCAAACAGGTGGATGGGTCCTTGATGCATTGTTATTTGTTGTTTTTGGATAATTTTGTTGTTTTGTTGATACATTTAGCTGAAATCTAAAAAAAAAAAAAGAAACGGAAAAACCCTCATTACTGACCCTTAGTTTTCTTCAGGACTAAAACCGAAAACGCAGCATTAATTTCCCTAGGCCTACACACTGTCAGTTTGTCATAGAAGAATCTGCTTGCTAATGAGGAGCCAGGCCACCTAACAATCACAACAGCATCATCTGATCGCGGAGAACATCAGGTCTAGCATTTTCCATCCGTGGAATGTTCATGAAAACGTGGCATTTCTTTACTACAGTATCAAACTTCTTCATTTACAAAATACAATCTGCTATCACTATGCATTCGAAATCGTGGGACAGTAACCAAACATATTGCAGTAAACTAACGTATAGTGTCGGTACTCGTAGTGACATCATTTTGGCCCCGCCATATTGGTTGATGAAGAACCATACTGTGATGACAAAGGTTCTCAGCCAATATGAGACATTTTTCTTATTTACATATCTTATAACGTTACACATCTATAAAGCAGCATGCGCATTTACGCGCAGAATATGAATTCTTTCAATGGAATGACCGGTCGCCATATTGGACTTTCATTGACTATTTGTACTCACAATTTGTGACGTCACGTGCATTTGCACTCAAATGTGACGTCACACCCAATAGGAAAGCAGTTTTGCTGATCTCACTCTTTCAAGGCGACATCAGACATTATAACGGGGTTAGCTTGTCCGTTGACGTTACTAGGCTGGTCCTCAAGCTTATTAGTACTATTCATCTCTTCTTTTTCATCGATGGGCTTTTTACACTTGTAGATAGAATACACTGCAACGGCTAGAAGGGAGAGGCCGACTTGAAACATGGTATTCAGAAAAGACACCGTGAACGAGAGGTCTGATTCCGGTTGTGGGAACGAGAGCCTGATGAGGGCGGAAGCCAGCGCCCCATTCTGCACTGCGGTTTCTATGGAGACGGTTCTGGCTCTGTTGTTGTCGAGGCAGAAAATCTTGGCCAGCCCAAAACCTGGATGGAAACAAATCATCTGATCAGGTGATTGAGGTATCGATGAGTTGGAAGCGTTTTAACTCACGTGACTATGACGTAAGTTTTGCCGCCACGTTGGATGGTTACACCTTGAGGCTGTCGGGTAAAATTTGAATTCGTATCTGTAATTACAGCCTCGTTACTATGACTCATATGATACGCATAAAACCATATGTTTGACTCTCCAAAGTGACTATTTCCCAGCTCTGTCTCTAGAGCTAGAGTTACTAGCCTCCTGGTTTCGGGAAACGACTGGAAAGAGAACAGTTTGCCGCTCTTACTCTTTCCAGCCGCTTCCCGAAGGCTGGTAGAGAATACGCAGGAGGCTATTGCTCGCATATAGACTAGGCAGACTTACCGATGATGAAGCCACTCAGCGGCAACAGAAACGCGGCAAAGATGGCCTGCCACGGCGTGTAGACCACGTGGAGGTTGACGGAGACCCCGAGAGCCACCAGGGCGATGACGAACAGCGCGCTGAAGGGCCGGATGACCTTCATGACCTTGAGATTCAGATTCAGATTTTATTGCCAATGACATAGCAGGTACACGAATAAAATCAATATTACTTGAAATGCGTCATTGATTACAAAGCCGCCGTTAAAATTCAAGTATATAATTCATATACATTATAAAATAGACGTCTAATAGTCAGAGTAATATCAAGTCAACTACTTACAAAATGTTTCTAATGAGAGAGAGGCAGTCACATACATGTATAAGCGTGTGTTACAGTTTAGCTCAGACAAACCTGATTCAGTGCGAGGATTACGAGTAAGGAAGAGTTTTAACATTGTGATCTCCAAACTATTTCACAAGGGTCATTGGTGTAAAATGGCCCCTAAATACAACTATAGAGAACTAGTTGTCATTAGTCATTGTCATTAGGCCATGTTGATTTGATTATATGGATGACATCCGCCCGCGCATGAATTTTCGGCCGTTTCCAAAAAACAAAAAGTTTTCAACCATACTGTAAATCGTCCAAAACAGTTGCAAAATGAGCAAAAATATACCGTAAGTTACAAAAAAATAAGTAAAAACTATACCAATGTCGTAGAATGCCAAAATCAAACGAAAAAAGACGAAATTGTAAGGAAATGAAGTTGAAGATTAGATTATTCGCCACACCATATTCTGTCCCATTTGTTCAACCCTCATGACCACGTAGATTTCATAATGAAAACAACTCTTTTTTTTTGCAAAACTTTTTTTTATTCGCACGCGCGCATCAGTTTTGGGGCTCCCGGAGGATGTCATCCATATAATCAAATCAACATGGCCTTACCTTGTCGGCGAGGGCCGGCTTCTTGTGCCGCAGGAGGATCCCCAGCAGTTCGGGGATGGTGATGGAGAGCAGGGAGATGATGATGTTTTGGAAGGGCACTTTGATGCTGTTCAACCGGAACTGGAGGGTACAAAAATGCACATTTATGCCCTTACGAAATAAGTGTAAATACAGGTCAGGATGAGAGTCTTGTATCTTATCTTACTAATAGTAATCCGAATTGGTATCAGCCCTACAGCTTCGGCTATGCTGATTTCCGTCTCGTAAACGGTCATCGCCATTTGACACGGTCGATGTCATATCACAGAACGGCAAACTAGTCCCTACGAGCATCAGAACGTCCCGTCAACACCGTGGTGTTTCGTGACGTAAATGATTAAAATTTTTTAGTATTAACCTTTTTGACCCGAATCCGAGCTTGTGCTTTTCCTTTTTTCACCAATATCTTTACTATTTTTCACGATGTCGTCGTACACTTGCAATTGTAAGACTACTTTTTATACGTTGTGAATATTTTTGCCCCTCAAAGAAGGTATGATACTACATTGGATATGACATCGACCTTTTCGGCGATATCGTAACGACCGTATCAAATAGTAACAACCCTTTACAAGACGGAAATGCGAAACAGAGGAAGGCGCCCAGTAATCTCCGAGCAGATCTTTCGGTTGGGTGGCAAAAGACCGTATCCATTGGCCATCCTGTATCCATTGGCCGTTCTGTATCCATTTCCCAACCGGTGGCTAATGGACACATGCTCTGGCCAATAGATACTGTGTTGCCACCCAAAGATCTGCTTGGAGATTAGGCCCCCTAGCCTGGGTGCCATCCCCTACCGCGAGTGAGCGATAATCCCTCGGCCAGGGAAAGCCACACGCCCCGCCGACCCTGATTTGCGCCCTGGCTCTAATTATCTCCTCGCGTCCGGAGTCTGGCGTGAAAGATATTGGGTTTAAGGCAGCCTGGGGTTGGGCGGACATTAGGGCTTCTTTCCACAAAACAATCTATCGCTTTATGAACGCCAGCGTCTGGCACCCAGGCTAAGGCCCCCAGGCCAGTACTCACCGCCCGCCCGTAGATGAAGATGTTGAGCGGCATCAGGCCCAGCGCCAGCACGGTGGACACGAACGTCATGGTCATGCTGAGGGGCAGGTCGGCGTCCAGGAAGTACGTCAGGATGTTACTCATACCGCCGCCCGGGGACGACCCGACCATCAGCAGACCTGGCCACAACGACAAGAAGATTCAGGGCGGCAAAATAAAACTAGAAAGGTAACATTTGCAAAGCAAAAATGCATAATGTTTACCTTCGCATATCATGGTTAATTGTTACGCAAACATATCCATATACAGTATATATAATCTAAAAGGAGTCTAAATCCCTTCTGCTATAAAACTGCAACATGATGTAATCCAACACCACTTCACCACTTACTATGGTGACAGACGTATGATTCAGGTCATTGACCTTATTTGTTTGGAGAAGAAGAAGAGGAAGAAGTCCGTCTGATACTGACATTTACTGCCATTTCTTAGCGCATTTTCATCATCATTTCATACATGAAGCGTCACGTGAAATCCCCCAAAACAAACTGAGGCATCTACCGCCCATAAATAACTAGAAACAGCCTACAGTACAAAATAAAAGTGTTTTTCGTCAGCGACATCACATTTTTACCTCACAGATATCACTATGCTATGTGATAGGACTGATTCAACTTGTCACATTAAAAGAATGAGCAGAAAATTGACTTTAAAAGTCCAGTTATACCGCCCGGAAATTGCACCGGACCATAAACATTTGGTAACAATTTTCTTGTCTGTGTGTTGCCCTTGTCAGCATATTTCTCGTAGCGATATGTTAATCTTGGAAATCAGTTGCCTGACGCAACCACAGAGGTGGGGGATATATGTGACCTGCAGTGTATGCGTTTATAGTCCGTAAACAGTATCAGTAGGTAGTTGAAAGAAAGCAAAGTTTGTCAATAACCTCCTTGGTGACCGTCACGCATGATGTGCCTCAAAGTGACCATGAATTATGACCACTATGTACCACGGAGGTCGTTGATTGTAAGGCAGCTGTGTGCGACAAAGTGACCATTGATGTACCGGGGGTCACTGACCGCACGGCTATGACCGAAAGGCACCTTCCCCGATTTCTGCCCCCCAGCCAACTTTGCGCCATGGTTAGGGGCGTTCGGTTAGTGTTACGTAGGCCAAATTCGTTAATGTGTGACAGGTACCACAGGGGGCGTTGATCGTAATATGTGCAACAAGTGACCATGTATGCACCACATGGGTCACTGACCGTATGTCCAAAAAGTACCAGATACAGATGACATACTCTCCAAGCAGAGGTAGAGGTTTACGGCTTATTTTTTGCGTGTTTTAGACGTTTCCATCCGGCTATCTTTTTGTGCTGGTATCTTTTTTTTACGGCAAGTGGTAACTGTCTGGCAAATGAATCCTGCCTGGCTAATTTGATACAGCTCAAGTTTGAACATTCGAACGATGACCTAGGGCGAATGTGCCCACACGTGCATTTCAAACAACAATAGTGTGAACAGTGTTGAGCTGAGTTGCATAATATGAGTTGAGTTAGGTCAAAGTGTGACATGTGACAATACCTCTGACAACCGCGACACACTCTGAGCTAATATTGACCCTGAACCAAACAGAGATTGGTACCTCCCAAAGTTTGCAAACAAAACATATGTCAAATGCTTTCGTCACCGTGTGCAGTTTTCGCACATACAGAACCTCAATTAGCCTCCTTCGCAGTCTTGTTGGGCGTGGGCGTAATTTTTTCTCTGAGCGACGCGAGTAATATGCCGCCGCGAGGGACGATTTGCTGCCGAGGGACTTTTGCCACGGAGAGAAGGTTTCCGCGCTCCAACAAGACTGCTTCCATTCGGCGAGTAGAAAGGACCTCGGATTAAGCCAGCCTTTCATAGAGGCTATTAACATGTTCGTGCAGGTCCAATTCACATGTTCGCGCAGGTCCAATTCACATGTCCGCGCAAGGGTAATTCACAGATATGCTGACACGCGCTCGCCTTTGTCAACGGTTGGTTTTATTATAGCTTGCGTAGTGGAAGGTTCCAACAGAGAAAGAGTGAACATTGGTAATGTTACAACAAAGGCATTGTTGTGGATATTTAAGCGTCCCATGCAAACAAACCAAGACAATTTGCAGTACTATTTTTGCTGGTGAAATGTGCCATTCTTTCTATTACGCAACTTGCTGCGGAGCGGTGCGTTACCCTCCTATGATCAGTGAGATCAACCCGCCACCAAACAACATGGCGGGACTTTGTTTATCTGTCGACGTCCCCCTGCAATATCACAGTTTAGCTAGCGGGTTCCTGTGGTAGTGATCTTTTCAAAGTTGTTTTTCGTAGCAGCAATGTCTCCGGGATTTTGTTGAGTGGATAGGGCTCGGTTTTCGGGAATGGTTGGCGTTCTACCGACGGGTTGAACGGCGACCGCTAGAAAGTTGCAAGTTTCGGCTCGTCGAGGAATGGGGCGTGAACACCTCCCTGCACTGGTGGCGTTTATTGCGGGAAGTTCACACATCCATGCCAATCGCTCCTAAGTGTTTTTTGATAGCCCTTTCTACTCGCCGAATGGAAGCAGTCTTGTTGGAGCGCGGAAACCTTCTCTCCGTGGCAAAAGTCCCTCGGCAGCAAATCGTCCCTCGCGGCGGCATATTACTCGCGTCGCTCAGAGAAAAAATTACGCCCACGCCCAACAAGACTGCGAAGGAGGCTAACCTCAATGATATTTAATGCACGTACGTATTCATTCATCTTATCGATATCGTTTTACTTTAAATCGCCAAGATACATCCCAATGCATGTGGTGACAGTATATCACCAGATCATAGCTATAAGGGCTCAGTTCTTCTATTCTTCGCAGACGAAACCCAAACAAAAGGAACACAGAACTCAATAATCGTGAGAAAACACAGAAGAAATTACGTTAGCTAACATTGTAAGGGAAATTAGTTTCCGTGTATAGTACTGCTATGGCACAATGACTTTGGCTTTGGAAGCCGATTCGCTGAATACCACAGCCAAACAACTCAATCAGCGGAACAGACCTCTATTGTAAAGTAAACTAACCCTCCTAGAATAGGTTTAGGCTTCGGCGTATTTTTGACGTCGACGTACGTGTTTTCAGGCGTTTTTATCGGGCTTTCTTTTTTGTACTGGTACATTTTTTACGCCAGCCGGATGGCAAATGATCACTGTCTGGCAAATGGATACTGCCTGGACACGGTCTTCGCAGTCGCTAAAAAATCTGCTTGGAGAATAAAGTAAGCTACCGCTATACTTACCTAGGGCATAGACGTCGTTGAGGGAAAACGCCTTGGAAAAACTGAATGCCAGAAGAGGCATGAAGACGAACTGGGACACAACTCCTATCGCCACTCCGTAAGGTCTCTTCAACACCTTGACCACCAAAGGCCACTCTACTGCCGTGCCCATGGCGAAAGAGGTGAGGACCAAAAACGGGATGATGACATAGTTCAGGGCTGCGCCTATCGCGTTGGGAGCTTTGTAGACCTTGACGGTGTAGTCGAGAACGGTAGCACTCGCTCCTGAGTTCACCGTGAAGTCCAAGGTCGTGATCCCGATATGTCCACCCTGTACCGGTATCGATAAACTGTTGTTGGACACGGCGGTCAAGTTGAACGTGTCCTGGCCCAGGTTCATTGCCACCTCTGTGCTAGCAGACGACACCTTCAAAAAAATTAACTCTGTCGAGTTCGGCCCGGTGTAGAGGATGGTTACGTTATCCTCTGACCGCTCTAGAATACTGAGAACCGCTGGGTCGAACTGGAAATCTGTATCCGTGTATTGGAGCAAAGTTCCGGGTAGAAAACACAAGAACGCCAGCACGATACGAGCGAGCGCCGCCATGCTTCCGCCGGCGACGAAATTTATTGAATGAATGAATAATACACAGTGGAGTGTACACGACCCCGTTTGCTCGTTGAACCCTTTGCGCGTGCTGTGCCGTGTGTATAAGCCATGTAAACACTGTGTCAGCTATCAATAGAAGATCTGGAAACACGATAAAGTTCACATGGCGCGACTGTGCGTCACCGGTTCCTATGTTAGTGGCGGGCTGCGTATAAGAATAGACTATAAGCTTTTGAAAGCTTCTCTATTGACGTGATCTCTTATAAGTCTCCGTGTCTGGCTGCATGTATTGCGTTGAGTGTTACATAATTCATAGCTGGCACGAAACCGCATAGAAATTAAGTGTTCTTGTTTCCGAAGCGCTTTTTGCGAACATATACTGTGTGCACGCATTTGGGTGTGGTTCTTTACGGTGACTATCTTTGTTGTTATAATGACAATGATGACAATGATCTTTATTTGCACATGCACATTCTCGCCCATAAATGTAGTGCATGCAGTTTCACATGACACAGTCGTAGAAACACTACAACTAAAGCTATGCTACTCTACATTTATTGTTTACAAACGAATGAACATATAAGGCTATGCTATCATTGAGTCTATCGTTTTCTTCCCTCTTTTTTTAACAACAGGTATACACGAACTCACAGAGTTTTGTGTACAGTATATTGTCAGGGCTAGCCAGGTTACCAAACCTATTATAGCTCCCGAGTCCTACATCCTCTCCCCAAATATTTGCGGAGAGGATGTAGGACTCGGGAGCTATAATAGGTTTGGTAACCTGGCTATGTCAGTGCATCATTTTATATATGTACAAATAAAGTGTCTTTTACGAACTGATTGTAATCGCCTTTGATTATTAACGCACTTCCTTTTTTTGTAAACTAAGCCTAGGCCTATGTGTCATACCCTGTACGTGTCTAACCCCAAGTTTCTAAGTACATCCATACTTAATGATATAATACTTTAATGATATAATACCATTATCACGTTTCTCTCAGAAGCCATATCGCATTAAATTTTTAATTTAAAAAAATGTTGCCCTCCGACAGTGGTCAACATGCCGAATATGGGCAAACAAGTCGTAAACGTGTATTGGTCCAGAGATATTGCTCGCTTTTTATGGCAAGTGGTGATTGAGATGTACACACATCTATATACCAGTACAGGTAATACTGTCGGATACGGGAATAGAAGACCTGTACATGTTGGTTGTAATATCACGTCTTATGATCTCAAAATTTAAAACTGTATTTTGTTTTTTTGACCATCCTTTTTCGGCCCATCGCATTAGAGTTAAAGACTGTGGGTATGTCTTCCGTAAAATTTACTTACTGTGGTCTTGTTTGCATTCACACGACCGTGACCAATTTGACATATACTTAAAGACAGCGTTTTCCAATCTTTATTAATATCTTTATTTCAATATCGTACGATCCCATACCATTGGAAACCAGCTCCGCGATCTATGTAAACAACAAAACAACATTTGTGACAAAACAACTCTAAAATCACAGCTAGGATCTTCCTCTCATTGGAAGTTTCTTGAATTACTAGTAAATGTTCCTGCATTACTCCAACATATCACCAGGGGGCGTAACTGTTAGAGCTTAAAACAAAACCTTTGCTAAAAAAGTAGCCTGGATTTTAAAAATATCACTGGTGATACATGTATAATACTACTATAACACTGTTTATCACTTAACAATATACTAGTATATGTAGTTGATGCACACACAAGATACAATAATAGAATTCTTGCTATGTTATATACATGTACTGTATATCATAATGATTGGCAGTACACATTGGACATTATGTTAATCAGTTAGCAGAAGGGATTTGGGTGATTTTGACTGTTTCATATAGAGTTATCCCAATTGAAGTCTGTTCACACATAAAGGTTAAACTCAAACCATAACCTTTGCTTTCCACTGATAGGTGCACTACACAGTACCCAACAAACATACCCATACAACTATTCAATAAAATATACCTTTTAGTTTTACAACAATGATATCGCTGAAACAGATAACAATGAAATATCTATGTCCACTATGTCCATTACTTGTATAATTTTTTTAGTTATTATATACAACATTATCATAAAGACTCTTGCTTCCACAATTACTTGTAAAGTAGATAGTTAGTACAGTCTAAATCTTTATACATGTACAATACAATACAGTACTAAAAAAATCATATAAATTAATACATACTAGTATTCCAGTATAACACAACAAACAAGCTGGTGTGTTGCTCCGAAGGGGACTTATACCAGCTATACAGATACAGAAATACCAGGTATGACACAGTCAAATCTATCCAAGAAGACCATCCAGAGGTCCGTTAAAATCTGGTCTATGTGGACAGGATGTCACTTATGCACACACAGAATACTTAGGCCACACCAATTTAATTTCTTGGTTAACGGATTTTTCTAGAAAAATAATGGAGCGGGCGGGCGAAAAAAAATAAAATATAAAAACAGGCCTAGGCATCCTGTTATGGCCCAAAATGGTACGATAGGAGCCATGAATTCAACACACCAGGCTGGTTCAAAATTTAAACAATGAATTTTGAACTTTTAATGATACCATTGCATTGAAAGATGGAATAACTGTAACAACTAGGATGAAAACGTCTGTTCTCAACTGTTCAGGGCAAAATATGAGCATTTTGCAGTTGATTCTGGATTTTTATTTTTATTTGCAAATCAGAAAAAAATGAAGCGGCGAATCCGTTAACCAAGAAATTAAATTGGTGTGGCCTTAATACTTAATACACAGAATACTTAATACTTGTGTCAATGTAAATTATCTAAGGGACCACCAAAAATGGTCACATTGACCAGGTGGTCCTCTGTACTGGTGGTCACTTGTACCGTATTGGTCCCAATAAAATTATACAGTGACTAATAAAATATTGCCTATCAAGCTAACATGGCCTCTATAGTTTGCTCATACAGTATATGTAACTGTACTTTAGACGTGACTGTCTAAAGTGAATCTTAATTGCTTTCTAAGAAATCTTGAGTATATATGGATCTTGAGGAAATTTCACAACTTCTTATTATGCATACACAATAATTCATCAACAATACAGTAAGCATTTTGCACTGCAAAGCAATCGTTTTCATACTTTTCATCATCATACATGTACATGTGACTCATTTAAAATCATAGTATATATAAAATATAGTTATACAGAAATGAAAAGCAAAGACAAAGTTGTTGAGTGAGGCTGACACATTTAGAAACACAACAATATTGGCACACGGATATTTTGAACATGGTCCACTTCCAAAGGTAAAATCAACAAGGAGCACTGTAGGCCATTGTCTTGGGCAATCTATTAATATGTATTTACCACATTTATGGAATAATGATAAAATCTATGTCTTGGTCAAGGTTTTTTCCAATTTTTTGTTTGTTTGTCATTTTAGCAAACCTATGTTCACTTCCTGGTGGGATTTGACTGAAATTTTTAATGTTTTTCATGCTTTTTAAAACCAATTTTATTGGTCAAGATGACAGAATGACCATAACTTTCTTCTTTTTTTTTCACCCATCTTTGGGAACAATCCTAGCCTCTACCAGGCTTGAGAGGGAGATAGAGAAATTAGCCATGAAATAGACAGATGACATGCCAGGGGAGTTGGCCCACTAGAAAAGTACAGTTTGCCGCTTATTGAACCAAATTCTCTCTGGCATGTTACCTGTCTATTTGGCCAATTTAGACTCTTTCCAGTCACCCCTGAAGCCTGGTAGAGGCTAGGAAAACCCTACATTTCAGTGCAGCGAGACTTGGCTGTGTCTGAGAGCAGAGGACAGGAATGGGTTAGGATCAGGCTCTTCTGTCATGATGCTAACTTTCTGCCAACCTCCGTTCTCCTGGTTGGACTTACGGATGGCGTCCAACACCGTTTGCACGTAAAGCCCGTCCTCGAAAGTCGCCGCGATGTCCACGGGTTCCTGGGCCCAGCTCCGCCGATCTTCCACTTTGCCAAACGACTCCTTCAAGGCGTCCACCAATCGCAGCAGCCCCTTGAGATACGGTACCGGGAGGTCACCGGCGTGGTTCGTGATGCCCAGTTTTTTCAGGCTCGGTAGCTCATCCGTGGTGTCAGCCAATAAGATCTCCTCCTTGTAAGAGTCGTTGGTTTGTCCGTAAAGGTCGGCATCGCGCACGACTAAGCTGCCCTTTTTTCCGACGATGAGGACTTCGTGTAAGAACCGTCCTGGCATGTGAGAATTCAAAGTCACCGTCGCACACGCCCCTCTCTCCAGCTGCATCTGAAAGCTACAGAAGTCGTCGCTCGTGATGTGTCGGATGCCCCTGATCTTCTCTGTCTGCTGCAGGAAAGTCTTCAAGGTGCCCTGCACCTTTGCCGCCTTCTGATTGGTCAGGTAGGTGATGACGTCGACGATGTGTGACCCAATGGTGTTCAAGACTCCGCCTCCCATCACTTCATCGCACATCCAGTTGTATTTCTCGTGGAGGAGACTTCCACAATGTACCCGAACTTCACAGACCAAGATCTCTCCGATTTCGTTGTCTCGAATCATCTCACGCATCTTGATGAAGGCGGGGAGGAATCGTAAGCCGTGGGTCATGAGGGACATGAGTGTCGGGTAGTATTTGGCGGCGTTGACCATCCTAAAAGCGTCAAGTTGACACAACCCAGCCGGTCTCTCACACAGTACATGTTTACCAATCCCCAATGTTTTCACGGCGATTTGAGCATGCAAATGAGGAGGATTCTCGACACACACCACGTCCACATCCTGATGAAGCAAAACGTCGTCTACCTTACTCGTGTAGAACGGTATGTCGAGCTCCTTGGCCACCTTTTCCGCTAGATCGTTCGTTCGGCCCCACAGAGCGGCGACTTTGAAGCCAGCAGACTGAAGAATGCAGACCATGACTTTAGACAGCGATCCTGTACCGAATACGCCCACCCCTGGCAGCATTTTCACCTTGTCTGGCATAGCTAGTAAAGCTACAGTTTACCTGCGTTCCTTCACGGGGCTGTCAGCGACGAAAGTCGCTCAATAAAGGCTTACAAACGGCGAAGTCTCGACGTTCTCTTCTTTTTCTCACCACCGGCGGCCATCTTAGCTTGCTCCAAAGGTCAACATTGATTAGGGGCGTGGCATCACGACAGTTGTTGTAAACAAAACTGTCAGACAACACATGCCATGCAAATTAGCATTTCTTTTTAGGAAAAAAACAGGGTAAGCCATTTTTGAAGAGAGACAATGCACTGCCTTCCTTCAAATGTCGTATTTTCCTACATGTCTCGAAGATGAAAGCCTGTGGCTATTGACAGGATCGTCCTGTCAATAGCAGAAAATTTTGCACTGCTGACAGGACGATCCTGTCAATAGCAGAAAATTTTGCACTGCTGACAGGACGATCCTGTCAATAGCAGAAAATATTGCACTGCTGACAGGATCGTCCTGTCAATAGCAGAAAATATTGCACTGCTGACAGGATCGTCCTGTCAGTAGCAGAAAATATTGCACTGCTGACAGGATTTTTCCTGTCAGCAGTGCAATATTTTCTGCTATTGACAGGATCGATAAAATTTTTATTTCATACTGGAAATTTTGGGTTCGTGTAGGTCTTATGTAGGTGTTATTACTAGTATGTATGCTATTAGGCCATTTTTTACGATCCTGCGCTGCGGCCCCTGCAGATCGTCGTGCGTACATTGATCCCCCGCTCGGTAGCGCCCTTTATTTCGGCCAATTTCTACTATTTTTCCAGCGATCCGCGGTGCCTGGTAGAGGCTAGTCGGGGCGACAGTAAGCCATTACGGCCGGCGCCGCGGGAATGACACAGCGGGCCACCGGCGGGTACGAGACAGCGCGTCGGGGTGAAAGTGGGGTGAAAGGATGGCGGACAAGGTCTACTCGAAACCTTACCCTGCAATGGGGGGCGGGGGGGGGGATTTTGGCCAATCACAGCTCGCAAAAAGTTTGCCCGCCTGTTTACTCGAAAAACCGCCTGAAAAAAAACTTCACTGGGGACCACGGCTAGCACGGGGCCAGTCGGAGCCACAATGCTAAAGGCTGGAGACAAGTTCTCCACATGGCAGGAGTTCACGGCTGTGCTGAACGAGTACCAGGCAGTAAATCTCGTCCAGCTCAGCAAAGTATGTAGCAAGACCGTGGAGGCGAGAAACCGCCGGCTGCCTGAAGGGGCTCCGAAGTTCCCATCATCACATGTGTATGCCATGGCGGAGTTTGCCTGCATTCACGGGGGGAAGCCAAGATCGCGGAGCACGGGAATAAGGCCGAACCAGTCGTAAGTACATATCATCATCATGATCATAAGTACACAATCATACCAAAGTTAGCAAAATATCTTGTTTCTTGGGATTTTGTGTTGTTTCTTTGTTGTTGTTGTTGTTTTGGGGTCCATAAACATACACCTCTGTATGCACCATGCCGTCAAAAAATGGCGGGACCGCTTACTGGTCGGCAAGTGTCGGCACAAAATCTGGATTTCTAAGGAATGCTGACACAGCCCCCAGAGAGAAAAAAATGCTGGGCAATGTCAGGCTGATTTAGTACCTATGGGGCCAAGCGCTGACAAATTCCCTCCGTGGCAAATCTGGAAGGCAGCTCATGTAAGAAGGGGAAAATGTCATATTTTTCTTCTCAGATTTTCTGTACCTTTAGCGCGTACAAGGTGCTAATCGTTTCTGTTGTTTACCAGCTATGCCCAGTGGGGGAAATGATACTATCCCATCATCCTTTGCAATACACATCCCACAACACGTGTCCCAGATGGCTGACTGTCAGCACCAGACATATAGTCTTGTCATGTTTCCTTTAAAAGTGCAGCAATGGCAACAATTTGACCAGTAATTTTTGGTTCTTTGAATTATCAAAGGACTCAAGTAGTGTATGAGGCTATCTGACTTTTGTAACTTATGTACAACTTCTTACATTGTGTCTTAAACATTTATGCAAAATTTGCTTCAAAAATGGTGCTCAAACTTCACCAAACTAAAGTGCTTTTCTACAAACTCTGTTGATTGGTGATATTATACATCTTGTGCATCAGAAAACCCCAAATGCACCAAAAAGCACCCAC